GAGCGTGAAAACCTTCAATATTCGGACCGTCCATTTCGTTTTGTCTTTGGATTTTCGTCTCTGCTCATGCTATAGTAACGTAAATTACGGCGCTTAGCATGTTTACAAACCCTTGCTTGGTTCTTCTGTTGCTACTTGCCAGCTTACTTGTTCCGAAATTTTTCTTCCAATTAACGAAAAAAACTAGAGAGAAGTCCCGGAAAAGGTCGAGCATAGTACAATTTAACAGATGACGTGACAGCTTTAGCTCAGCTTTATGCTTTGTACTCTAATAGAGCACTCTCTTTCAACCACTGGCAGCGAGCGTTATAACCGAACTTCATCATAATAAAATTTAACGTATCACAGGCGCACATTTTTCATCGTACATACTTGTTTTCATCCAAACAATCGAGTTCCACTCGGTTCGATCGATAGGTGGGAGATGTTCAGACTCAGACATAAACTGTGACTTATTGTCATACTCTTCTTCTCGTTCCCTTGATTTTGAATTTGTTTCTTTGGATTTTCGTTGGTCAACTCTATTTCGAATAAGTTAAGCCACAAGTTGCGATTGTTAAAGCGAAGATATTGAAGTTTGGGTCACGTTTATTCGTCGATTGATTGTTCGTTAGGTCTGGCGATATCTTATATTTACTCTGATCAGTTACGTGCAAATTTCGTGATCAAACGACACAATGAGTCCAATCCCAAGTGTTATTTTTCTTCTTGCATCGTACGCACTATCGTTATTTTCGTTCGCACGGCCTCTAGTCATCATTTAGAAAAATATTATACCTAGTGACCAACCGCTGTGTGACTCAAATCGAATCGCCCCTCTGAGGAACTTAAAATGTCTTAAACGAGGACTGAGGTGCATGGTTTTATCTTTTCGAAGCTGATCCGCAAATTTTTTGACAACCAAGCTATGTTAAAGCAGAGAGGAAGTCATTAAGTTCCTTTATCCCCTCACCAGAACTACATATATGTTATGTATGTGTGACACTTGTGTATCTGTTCTATATTTCTATGATAAAT